CTGTGGCACCACAGGATGGGTCACCCCTCCCTGCCTCGTCTCCGGGGCATGGCCTCTCGCCTTCTTGTCTCTGGCCTTCCCCGGTCCCTCCCTCCCCTTCCTCCGGGGCCTGGCCCTCCCTGTGTCCCCTGTGTCAAGGGTCGCCTGCGGGCTACCCCTCACTCCTCCCCGTTTCCTCCGACGGAGGCCCCGATGCAGACGCATCACATGGACGTGTGGGGCCCAGCCCGCGTCCGTGGACAGGGTCACGAGCGCTACTTCCTGCTGGTGGTTGACGACTACTCGCGATACACCATAGTCTTCCCCTTGCGCAGCAAGGGTGAGGTCACTGAGGTGTTGATCGACTGGATCCGCGCAGCTCGTCTCCAGCTCAGGCGGAGCTTCGGCTCGGACTTTCCTTTTTTGCGTCTGCACTCGGACAGAGGCGGAGAGTTCTCCTCCGGCCTTCTGCGAGCCTACTGTCCGGCACGAGGCATCCACCAGACCTTCACGCTTCCGGACTCTCCACACCAAAATGGGATTGCTGAGCGCCGCATCGGCATTGTCATGGACGTCACAGTTACAGCCCGCCTCTCCCCTGCCTTCTCCTTCTCCCTACGCTGGTCCTACTGGAGGTCTTGCTGAGCGTCGTGAGCCTGCGTCCCGCCCTGTGTCGCCAGTCCGAGCTGCTCGCCCTAGTGGTCGCGGTTCGCGTCAGCGTCCTCCTCCTGTCCCTGGCACGCACCAGATGTCTCTGCGTCCGTCCACTGCTCCTCTGCGTGCCCCTTTGCCTTCTCCTCCTCAGTCTTCTCTTCCTACTCTTGCCAACCCGGAGTCGGACTTTCACCGTGCTGCCAGTCCTACTGTCACGCGTCTTCTTGCTACTCTTGTCACTGACCCTTCCTTTGAGTCCGCTGCTGCGTCTGCCCTAGTTGCTGAGCTGGTCGACTTTGCTGCTGCGTGTCGTCTGGACTACGCTGCCAGTCTTGTTGCTGAGTCTGCTGAGTCTGCGTCTGCTGCGTCTGCGTCTGCCTGTCCTCCGTCCGTCGGGGGTGACTGTGCTCTTGGCACGGACGTCCTTGAGGACAGGCAGGAGGAGTTCCAGTGCTTTGCCGCCGCTTTGCCCCATCTCGTGTCCATGCTTCTTGCCCCTGAGGGAGACCCGGATGCTCTAGACATCCCGACCCCACGCTCTTACGCAGAGGCGATGGCCGGTCCCTACTCCTCTCAGTGGCAGTCAGCCATGGACGCAGAGATGGCTTCCTGGAAGTCCACAGGCACCTACGTTGACGCTGTTCCCCCTCCTGGGGCGAACATTGTCAGTGGCATGTGGATCTTCAGGGTGAAGCGGCCGCCGGGTTCTCCGCCTGTCTTCAAGGCGCGCTACGTGGCTCGTGGCTTCAGTCAGCGATAGGGAGTTGACTTCTTTCAGACCTTCTCCCCGACCCCGAAGATGACCACTCTTCGGGTTCTACTGCACGACGCTGCTCAGCGTGACTACGAGCTACACTCTTTGACTTCAGCACTGCTTTCCTGCAGGGCCGCCTGCACGAGGAGATCTGGCTGCGCCGCCCTCCTGGCTTCACTGGGTCGTTCCCTCCTGGTACCCAGTGGAGCCTCCGGCGGCCAGTCTACGGTCTCCGCCAGGCGCCGCGTGAGTGGCACGACACACTGAGGACTACACTTGCGGCTCTTGGGTTTGCTCCTTCTACTGCTGACCCGTCGCTGTTTCTGCGCACCGACACCTCGCTGCCGCCGTTCTACATCCTCGTGTACGTCGACGACTTGGTCTTTGCCACTGCGGACACTGCCGCACTCGCCCACGTGAAGTCGGAGCTGCAGAAGAGACACACGTGCACAGACCTGGGTGAACTGACAAGCTATCTTGGCTTGCGGATCACCCGGGACAGAGCACGCCGCACCATTACCCTGACTCAGTCACACATGGTGCAGCAGGTCCTTCAGCGCTTCGGCTTCACGTACTCTTCGCCTCAGTCCACTCCTCTGCCTACGGGACACTCGCTCTCAGCTCTGCCTTCGGATGAGTCCGTAGAGTCGAGTGGTCCATATCCAGAGCTTGTGGGCTGCCTCATGTACCTGATGACTTGCACTCGACCTGACCTCGCATACCCTCTCAGCATCTTAGCACGCTATGTTGCTCCCGGCCGTCACCGGAAGGAGCACATGGATGCAGCTAAGAGGGTGTTGCGCTACTTGTGCAGTACGTCGGGCATGGGGCTAGTGCTTGGAGGGCGTGAGCGGCCTGTGCTCACTGGGCACTCAGACGCTTCTTGGGCTGACGACCAGGCTACTCAGAGGTCGTCTCAGGGTTACACCTTCAGTCTTGGCTCTGGCTCTGTCTCTTGGCGCTCTACTCGCTCTTCTTCGGTTCTCAGCTCCAGCTGTGAGGCTGAGATCTACGCCACGGCCATGGCTGCCCAGGAGCTTCGCTGGCTCACCTACCTGCTGACTGACCTTGGAGAGCGGCCTCGTTCTCCTCCAGTGCTGTACGTCGACAACAAGGCAACCATTGCCTTGTGTGAGGAGCACAGACTGGAGCACAGGACGAAGCACATTGCTCTGCGCTACTTCCTTGCTCGAGAGCTGCAGCAGCGTGGTCAGCTTCGCCTGCGTTTCGTGGCCACTGAGGCCAACACTGCTGATGTGTTCACCAAGGCACTTCCGCCTCGTGACCATCAGCGCTTTTGCACTCTGCTAGGCCTTGTGCCCACTGGGCCTCACTTGCTTACCTCTTGACCTTGCTTGTACTGCTGCATATATATATCCTTGCTCTTGCTTGTTTAGCACTGTTATATATATATGCTCTGCTGCATGTGAACTGGCCTTGTGGCCTTGACCTTGTGCTCGAAATTTGTGTGGTATCCTTGAGATCCACCTTGAGCTTGCTTTGCTTTGCTTTGCTTTGCTTTGCTTGACTGGTCTTGTGACCCCTTGCTCTCCCCCACTTTGCCTATGGGGGTGTGTCAGATGATTATATTACTGATGCATATATTTAGGCTGTAGTGGGGTAGCCCATAGGGGGTACAACCCAATTAGGGTTGGTACTTGTACTTGCTTCATTTCATAGTGCACTCATTTCCTCGCCTCTATCTCAACAGAAACAGGTTGGTACAAGTAGGAAAACCTAAAAGTGTTGTACCCCATATTATCTACCCCACTACAGCCTACACAGACTATAGCATATAAGTTTGACACACCCCCACAGGCAAAGTGGGGGGTCACAAGACCAGTCAAGCAAAGCACAGTAAGCTCAGGGTGGATCACAACGTCACCAAACATTCCGAGCACAAGTTCAAGGCCACAAGGCCAGTTCACATGCAAGATTATATATAAAGGTAAACAAAGCAAGTGCAGGTATAGATAGATCACAGTACAAGCAAGATCAAGAAGTGAGCAAGTGAGGCCAAGTAGGCACAAGACCTAACATCGTACAAAAGCGCTGATGATCACAAGGCGGAAGTGCCTTGGTAAATATATCAACAGTGTTGGCCTGAGAGGCCACGTAAGCAAGGCGCAGCTGACCACGCTGCTGCAGCTCACGAGCAAGGAAGTAGCGAAGAGCAATGTGCTTTGTTCTGTGCTCCAGTCTGTGCTCCCGACACAAGGCCAGTTTGGCCTTGTTGTCTACGTACAGAACTGGAGGAGAACGAGGCGGCTCTCCTAGGTCAGTCAGCAGGTAGGTGAGCCAGCGTATCTCCTGTGCAGCCATGGCCCCCGCGTAGATCTGAGCCCCACAGCTGGAGCCGAGAACAGAAGACGAGCGGGTAGACCGCCACAAAACAGAGCCGGAACCAAGGCTGAAGGTGTAACCGTGTGAAGACCGCTGCGTAGCCTGGTCGTCAGCCCAAGAAGCGTCTGCGTGACCTGTGAGGACCACTGAACTCCGCCCTCCAAGCACTAGCCCCTTGCCCGACGTACTGCACGAGTAGCGCAACACCCTCTTCGCTGCAGCCATGTGCTCTGGTCGGTGTATCCCAGGAGCAACATAGCGTGCCAAGATGCTAAGAGGATATGCAAGGTCAGGTCGTGTGCAGGTCATCAGGTACATGAGGCAGCCAACAAGCTCTGGGTACGGGCCACTCGGCTCTACGGACTCATCCGCGTCGTGAACAGTGGCGGGAACTGTAGTTGATGCGAGTGTCGCGTGTAGTAACGGTTTATTGCTGGGTGCTGTACAGACCCTCAGATTCGTTTTGGGGCTGTCTGATTCGTCAGACTTAGTTCACATTTTTAGTCTGATTAATCAGACTTGGTAAAAAAAAAAACTCTGAAATTTCAGAGTTCAAGAGTAATAAAGTGTGATTACACTCTGAGAAAAAGGCTGAAAAATCAGACAAGACCTACAATTTTTTTTTTCTGGATATTCAGAGTTCACAGCAAAAAAAACTCTGAACTTTCAGAGTTCACTAAAAAAAAAGGCTGAAATATCAGACCTTTTTAGGTAAATCAGAGAAATTTCTCTGAATTCTGGGGGCCTGGTGCTGTAGGCGGGGACAGTGGTGTACGCGCCGAATAAGGACGCAAAGTAAGGAAAAGGAAATTTTCTTACATAAGGGCTGCACCTGAAGAGTGTTATATGCGGTGAAGTCATGTGCGTATTTAGTATTGAATATTTTTCCTTACTCTGAAGAATACGCATTATATGGCAATTTACCTGAAAATAAGGTGACTCAACTGAAGAAGACTGAAGGATCTGGTCAAAATGTCTGTAAGAAATGCAAATTCCAGGGCGGATATACTTCGTTATGCAATATGTATGAGCGCCACATATATATACCGTTCGTACGCAATAGGGAGGACACTGTTCCTGGCATGCATAATCGTTCCAGCATCAAATTAGCCGGCAGATTTTCATGAGGTCACTGACTGACAGTCGTGGTGCTATTATTTCTTAGTATAGTAGTCTCCCAATTAGTTTCCCTGCGGTTGTCGTATTCTTCCGCACCATGTACTCCCTATCAACCGCTCCGTCTGTAGCTTCTCGTTTTGCTCGCCTCCTTATGCTCCTATGCGTGCTGTTACCACTCGCCGTGTTCGCGACGAAGCCCAACGTCATACCGGGCGGCGTGCAGCAGATCGCCGACTTCGCGAACCGGGAGGACCTGCAGGCGTTGGCGGCGTTCGCCGTGGAGCAGCACAACGAGAAGGAGGTGCGCTGCGCTGCGCGTCGCTTCGGCGATGGCCAAAACAGAGCGCAGATTTAGGAGGCAGGGGAACGGGCAGATTTAGGAGGGAGAGGAAATGGATATTAAGTGCCGAAGTGTTCGCAGCGTGTGCCGCCGTGCTTGTGCTCGACTGGTGCCTCCGCATGCGCTTCCGCTCCCCCCTTGCCCCTCCTGCTCCTGTCTCGCCTCGTTCAATCGAGGGGACGATCTGCGGTACACACGCGTACCTGCACGCGCCTGAGCGCGCGCCGTCTCCCGAACCGCTGCTGCCGACCGTTTTCGCATTTGCCCTTCGTTCCTCGCCCTTAATCCCCTCCCCGTCCTTTCCCCTTTCCCTCCTTCCCCCTTCCCCACTTCCCCCATCCCCCCTCCCCTTTCCCCCTCCCCCCCTCCCCCTTGGGGAGCGCAGGGCGCGGACCTGCACCTGGTGCGCGGGGAGAGCGCGCAGCAGCAGGTGGTGGCGGGCATCCTCTTCCACCTCACGCTGCTCGCCATCATTTCCCCCCTTCCCCCCTTCCCCCCTTGCCCCCTTCCCCCCTTCCTCCCTTCCCCCCTTCCTCCCTTCCCCCCTTCCTCCCTTTCCCCCTTCTCCGCTTCCCTCTTCCCCCCTTCCCCCCTCCCCCGCGTCCCCCCTCCCCCCCCTCCCCCGCTTCCCCCGCCCTTCCCCCCTTCCCCCATCCCCCCCCGGAGGGCGCAGGGCGCGGACCTGCACCTGGTGCGCGTGGAGAGCGCGCAGCAGCAGGTGGTGGCGGGCATCCTCTTCCACCTCACGCTGCTCGCCACGTCGCCCTCCTCGCGCCGCACGGCGCAGTACAAGGCGACGGTGTGGGAGCGCGCGTGGCAGAAGTTCAAGGCTCTGCAGGCCTTCGCTCCCGTGCCTGACACCGACCGCGCCGCTACTCCTGCCGAACTGCACGCCGCTGGTGGTAGTGCCGCTGCTGCTGCTGCTGCTGCTGAAACGGCTGCTGGGACTGCTGGTGGGATGGCTGGTGGTGGTGATGATGATAGTGGTGGCGCTGCTGCTGGTGGTGAGGGGGGATGTGGCAACGTGGCGAGGGACGCGGGTGAGGAGGGAGCGGCGGGCGAGGCACAGGGCACATGCAGCAACAGAGATGGGGAAGGTGGTCCTCATTCCATATCAGCTTGCCACATGCGTGCTCGTTGTCTCCCTGCATGCTTGCTCTTCGCACGGGTGCTCTGTCTGTTGGCGCCTAACCAACCAACCAACCACCCACCCACCCACTCATTCCCCCTCGTTCTTGTGGGCCTCGGCCCCTCGTCCCATGTGCGCGCTTACCACTTCGCCCTGCTAGCCATCTTATGACTCGATAAACTCTTTCGCCAATGTATCTCCGCACTACTCATGCGCCCGCTTCCTGCTGCCTCTCTCCCTCCCCTCCTCGCACTTGCCCCACTGGTCTTTGCCTCAGCAATTATTTCTGAACCCGTTCTTGTTTCGATCTCATTCCTTTGTTGTCATATCCTCCTCCAGCGCCTATCGTGAGTCCTCTTTAGCCCCACCCGCTTTCTCCCTCCATGCTCTCCACGTACTACTTACCTTAGACATGCCTTCCCCCTCTTCATTCCCTACCCATACTGTCCCGCCGCAGCGCATTCATCACCCGCGGTGCTGGAGGCAGCAGAGCGGGCGGTGGCAGCGCTGCAGCAGCGCTCCAACTCGCTCTTCCCATACCGCCTCAAGGAGGTCGTCGCTGCCCTCGCCACGGTACAGTACACACACTGGGGCCAACGCCGCTGCGCTGGGGATGGGGGTGGGGGTGGGGGTGGGGGTTGGTGATGGGGTTGGGGTGGTGGTGGGGGTGGGAGGGGAGATGGGAAGTGTTGCGTGTGAAGCTTGCGTGTGTGAAGGCTGGAGGATCTGACTTCCTTTGTTGTGCAGGTGGAGTGAACAAGTAATAGCAATTTACATGGGTGGCGATAGTTGGTCGTGGTGGTGTGCATGGTGACTGCATGCAGCGGTGCGTGCGTGCTGCTCACTGTTGGCATGCAGGGTTTGCGAGAACCACCCCATGTCTGTCAACTGCATACGGTACATCAATAACTTCTATTCTATCCAAGTCAGCATGAGTGGGATGGGATCGCCTTGTCCGTTGCACACAAGCCTCAACCACCTCCGTCAGAACACTCAGGAAACGGCTAGTTGGTGGTGCCATCTGTATAGGAACCCGTCGTCACCCTGTCTTGCTTGTCGTATCTGCTCACCTCCCTTGACTCCTTGCCTTTGCTGCTCTGTATTGCACCACCCCCCGCACACCCCCTCACCCCCCTTCCTCCCCTCCCTGCAGCCGGCAGCAGCATCATCAGCAGAGCAGGGCACGACGATGTTCCACCTGACCCTGCGCCTGCAGCGCGAGGCGCCGGGCCAGACCCAGGAGCAGCAGCAGCAGCAGCAGCAGCAGCAGCAGGTGGTGGGGGCGCTGGCGGACGAGCTGTATGAGGTGGAGGTGTTGCACTCGCCCAATGGCCAGTGGTCCCTGCGCAAGGCCGTTGCCCTGCAGTGATCATGTGACGGTGTTTCCCCCACTTCCACAGCTGCATCGCCTGTAGTTGCAGCCTCCAGGATTTTGCTGAGTGGAGGTACCGGTAGTACCTACTTGGAAGCTTTTGCTTCCAAGGATTCTGTGTTGAATAACTCGCATCGCATAGCATCGTTGACAACTTGACAGAAATTCGGCTACCATACTATACAAATTGCCAGCACCAACCTTAGAAGTGCTGTCTCTGTCCTCCCCCTTCTGTCTCAGCTTGCTTAGTGCAAGTCTTCTTTTCCAATATACGGTATTACCTGGAATACATTAGAAAACAAAAACAAGAACAAAACCCACCCACACGGTTCTACTGGCACTGGCTATGTACCTACATGAGCTTGTGCGCCAACACTACCATCGACCAATGGCCTTCCATATTGGTCCTTATTTCTAACCAGCTGCAAATCACGCCACCGCTCCGGCGGCTCGCCCATAATCCCGTGTGCTGACCTAAACCCTGCAATGCATCGTGGTGGGCGGCCCATATGTGAACCACGGCGAGCTCCGGAAAATGCAGGTGTTGCGAACAGACAGTGTGGGGCACGGCAGGTCAAAATGCAGATGTGTTGGTGGAAAATGCAGGTGTGTTGTACACTAGAATAGGAGCACTGATTTCCTGCTGGTTATGTAGACAGTATTGGTGGAAGTGCGGGGAAGAAGTCTACAGAATGCTCTGTGGAGCAGGCAGGCAGTGGAGGGAGAGCAGCACGGGGTGGGGTTGCTCCTAGTGGTGGGCAGGGCAGCACGAACATGAGCATGAGCATGAGCATCAGCAGTGGTGGTGCGAGCAATCGATGCAGAAGAACCGATCCATGCGCTGGTCGTAGCTGCATATGGTGAGCAGGTGCGAGGGGAAGGGGGGAAGACAATCGGGAGAGAAGTGCAGATGAAGGGAGGCAAAGGAAAGGGTAGGATGTAAGTGAACACGGGACCTGGAGAAGGTGAGGGTATTAGCACAACAAGAAGTGGAGCGTTGGCAGGGGATGAGACTTAGAAGGTGCATGCACATGGTGACACATAGGTATCCGCACTTGATCTCATACTTGCAGGATTTTTCTACCGATGGGTAGGCGAGTGAGACAAAAGTTTTATGAGAAATTGGGGCCGGAGAGCAAGGAGGTATACAAGGGGATGAGAACGGAGTGGTTACTTTGTAACGGTGCAGTTGTCGCAGAAGGGTTGATTGCAGGCAGCGCAGACACAGGTGCAGCGGCTGCAGAGAGCATGGCTGCCAGGATGGGCGGGGTGATTGCGATGGGGCAGGGAGTAGAGTCGTCTCTTGGATGCTGCTTGCATTGACGCTATGCGTGTGTGAAGATGAAGGGGATGTGCATGTGCGTGAGTGTCCGTGTGGCAGCGAGCGGGGGTATGTGCGATAGGCAGGCGGGGAGGGGGGTGTAGAGTGTCAACGGGAAGGGAAAGGAGCTCGGTTGAATTGGGGTTAGTGAGGGTGGGGAGGTCAACTGGGTCATTGTCACCAGGCGCCAGGCTCGCCCAACCACGCATACTCACGGACACTACGCACACTCAAGGAGCACGCCGTACCTGCACCGCATGCACGCTCCGCCACTGTGCGCGGCTGAACTCCCCCCGTCCCCACAACAGCATGCGCGGACTCCGCTGCTGGCTACGCTCCCCAGTCCACCTCCTGCGCCGGCCCGCTCCGCCTGCCCCTGCGCGCGCCTCTGCTGCCCCACTGCCGCGGGCTGCCACCACTGGCGGAGCATACTAGGGCTGGCGGCGGGGGCAACCGCAGGAGGGAAATACTGCGGCGCAAACTCTTCGACTGGCGCAGGTCGCGCGGGATGTTCGGCTGGGGGGTAGATTGGCGCAGTTGCGGGGAGGGCGTGTGCGGATGGCGGAGAGGCGGAGGAAGTGAAGACTGCCCTGGCGCCGTCCTTGAGGCGCTGCAGCGTGCGCGCTGGAGGGGGGGAATGGGGGGAAAGGGGAGCGGGAAAGGCGCGTGAGGCATGGGACAGCTGACGTGGCGTGGCGTGGAGACAGGGCCCGGGGGAGGAGCGGGTGCGGAGGGAACTGGTAGGACAGGGGTACGCGGTGGGCGGTTCGCCGCACTTGGATAGGAGCGATACGGACGGGCAACAATAGTCGGGCTGCTGCGCCTTAGGTCCTTCCTTGGGACGACTGCTAAATTACGCCATGTCGCGAGCATGGGCCCGTGCACGACTGTGTCAGCGCGAACATGCGTACCCCAGATTGCAACCTCGTCGAGCCGCGTGACCTTCTCCTTGCCGCGGTGCGCGAAGGCGGCGTGCGGGTCGTGGCGGCACAACCCGCGCTTGCCCAGCATTGACATGGCGCTGCCTCGATATGCGGGGCCACGCGGACCAGTGGTTGAGTAGTTAGGAAACTAGAAAATGGAGAGGGGATAGCAGGAAGCTGGTGGTGTGGTGAAGGGGAGCTCGACTTGGAAGTTGGGATGATTCAGACGGAACGGATGAGATGAGAAAGACGGCCTTTCAAAATCGAATTTCGAACGTTGAAATATGTAGGGCGCGGTCCACACCACAAGCTCGTTTGAATGTGCTTCAATAAATATTTTTGACGCTATTACTCAAAATAAAACCAAGTATAGATTGCTTGGAAAATATTTTGAGCACTGCCTGACCTCACTGCCCAATAAAGGTGTAGAGCAATGTAGTAGCTGTAATTGTGAGAATAGTGAGCAGAGTGAGGAGCCATAGCTAGGTAAGCCCTAGCTAGGCAAGAGAAAGTTTAGGCAAAGAAGGGGTTTGCTCTAGCAAGCAGATGGATACAAATAGGAAACCCTGAGGGGCTGTACTCGCTATAGAGTACCCCACTGCAGGCTAGACAAGTATTATATTCTGACACACCCCCATAGTCAAAGTGGGGTATAATCAGTACAGCATGCAGGCATAGAGCAAGAGTTCACAATGATAAGCAAAGCTAGAGGCTATCACAGAGGGCAAATGAGGAGGAGAGACTGTGGAGGGAGAGAAGATGCGAGGCAACGACTGAAGCTGCAGAGGCACGGGCACAGGAGCGGCTGACTCAGTGGCTACCGAAGCAAGGGCGACGGACTACTGGAGTGACTGGCTCCGCGGCTAGAGACGAGCGGCAGGAGCAACGGACCCACTGGCGACTGGTGCAACAGGCTCACTGGCTACCGAAGCAAGGGCGACGGACTACAGGCGCTGCAGGCGACACGACAGCTACCTTCACACAACCTCCCCCAGCTGCCCCACTCCCCTCTCACACACCCCCTGTTCAAACCCTAGCTCCACTCCCACAGCACCCCCCTTAAACCCTAAACCCTAGGCTCCCACACACCCACCCCCCTCAGCGACAGCTGCAGCAGTGGGAGACGAGGGAGGAGGAGCAAGGGGAGGAACACACAACCGCCACCCCCAGGGTTTAGGGTTTAGGGCGACGGAGCAAGGGCGACGGACTACAGGCGCTGCAGGCGACACGACAGCTACCTTCACACAACCTCCCCCAGCTGCCCCACTCCCCTCTCACACACCCCCTGTTCAAACCCTAGCTCCACTCCCACAGCACCCCCCTTAAACCCTAAACCCTAGGCTCCCACACACCCACCCCCCTCAGCGACAGCTGCAGCAGTGGGAGACGAGGGAGGAGGAGCAAGGGGAGGAACACACAACCGCCACCCCCACACCCGGCACCAACACCCCAACCACCGTGAAAAGCACGGGGGGGGGGGGGTCGGGGGGGGGACGGGACAGGCCGCGGGCTGCCGCAGGGGCGGCTCGCGCTGATCCTGGGGCGGCTGCTGCAGGCGCGGGCTGCTCCAGGGGCGGCTGCTGTAGGTGCGGGCTGCTCCAGGGGCGGCTGCTGCAGGTGCGGGCTGCTCCAGGGGCGGCCGCTGCAGATCAAAGGGAGGAGGGAGGGGGGAAAGAGGAGCGCGGCCCCCAGGGCGCCCCGACGGACTACGGGAGGGGCCGCGTACGGGCCCACGTGGGCGGCTCGACGGGCAACGGGAGGGGCCGCGCGCAGGCCCCCAAGGCGCCGCGACGAGGCGACGGTTGGGGCCGGCGCGCGGGCCCCCAAAGCGCGGCGACGAGGCGACGGGAGGGGCCTACGTGCGGGCCCCCAAGGCGCCGCGACGAAACGACGGGAGGGGCCGGCTCGCGGGCCCCCAAAGCGCCGCGACGAGGCGACGGGAGGGGTCTGCGTGCGGGCCCCCAAAGCGCCGCGACGAGGCGACGGGAGGGGCCTGCGTGCGGGCCCCCAAGGCGCCGCGACGAATCAGGAAACCGCCGCGCGCCTCGGGGCGCACGGCGGGCAGAAAACCGCCACGCTCCCCGAGCGCGTGGCGGGAAGAAAATCGAAGGTCGCGCGCCACGGGGCGGGCGACACACAGTAGGGCAGCGGAAGTAGGTGGGCCCACAAGCCAGGAGCGTAACCGCTCTGATTCCATGTGAGAATCGTGAGCAGAGTGAGGAGCAGGGCCTCAGATTCGTTTTTAGCTTGGCTGAGACGTCAGCCTTAGCAGGCTACGCTAGGCTGATCAATCAGAGTTGGTTCAAAAAAAAAATCTGTTTTTTCAGACAAGTCACCTAAAAAAACGCTGACTAATCAGCCTCACTAAAAAACGCAGGCTGATCTATGTTTAAGCACTTTGTTCATTAAGTTTAGCAGGTGCTGTGCTGTGCTGCCCTGGTGGTTGGTGAATGGCGCATAAGGGATGTGATTGGTTAAACAACCAATCACATCAATTGAAGCATTCTGTCGGTGACAACGAAGCAACCGACTCGTCGGGGAAATTCGTTTTCCCGCCGCGTCGGCGCTGTACGTGGCAACTTTTGCGTGATTGACGGTGGATGTACCTGGACAGCCGAAAAACACGGCTCCGGCACGAATCTGTAATAGCGTGAGTTCAGCCTACACTCTCGTTACAAGTCTGATCAATGAGCGGACACTTGTAAAAAAACGCTGGAAAATCAGCCAATACTTCAAAAAAAAACTTGAATAAT